AAAATATATTCAAATAGTAACCAGAGTATCTGAAAAAAAAATCATTTGGATAAAAGCCTTAGTTTTTGCTCCTTATTTGCTCCTTATTTATTACTCAATGGGTTAAATCAATAATATATATCCTCAAGAGAGTATATATTTTTAAGTTATCTAATTTTCTAAGGTAACTAATTTTTAAGTTATCAATATTATAGTTGATAAAAATTAAACATGTTTTATGTATTTTTCAAGTTATTCTTTATATAAAATTTACAAGTATACAAGAAAGAAAACAATACGATGAATCCTAATGTTCCTATTACCCAATGTTGGTAACTATCAACATTACAATGTTCTTCAGATAATTTTTTAAAGGTCAGTCTTTCACGAATCTTAAGGAAAACTTATATTCCCTTTTATTAGATTCAGACTCTTTAAATATTTCTGCATTTCCAAGCAATTATATCCTTTTCACTCTGGGTGGTATGGTTTAAATTCATTAGACTGCCCTGAAGGAAATGACTTTTTTGCTCATTTTCAATGATATAACTGCTTCATTTTAAAATCAAATTTAGAATATTACGATAGTGAAAGGTCATCAAAAGTATTGCTCTCATTCCTATCCCAATTATTTTATCAGCAGTCTAGAAGCTGTTGTAAGGCTGATATATTACCACCATGTGTAAATTGTAAGCATCATACTCATAAAAAGTAAAATAAATCATACATAAAGGCCTTACACAATGAATGAATCCATCACTTTATGATAGTTTAAAAGAAAAACTATAGTGATAAGGAAGTATGTGGAACTAGGAGTAAAGGAAATTATTTAATGAAAAAAGTACAATGAAACTTTTTAGATAATAGAAATGGTGTGTGTGTTAATCATGCTGGTGTTTACGCAACTACATACATTTCTCAATATCATGAAGATGTACATTTCAGAACACCATATTTTGGGGCAGGAGTTTATTGCATTGGGTTAAGCCACTGCTTGCAACCCTGGTATCTCATGTTTGTGGTAGCTGCTTTGCTTCTGCTTTAGGAGTTTCAGCTCCTGGCTTTGGCCTACAAGACTCCTGCGGTTGCGACCTTTTAGGGAGTGAACCAATGGATGGAAGATATCCTTACTTATATATCTATTCATCTTGTATTTTACGGGAAGGTTGCCTTATATCAGAGAGAGAGAACATAAGATACCTAACCTTTGGGGATTGGCTTATTTCACTGAGTATAATGGCCTCTAGTTGGGAGCATTTTATTGCAAATGGTAGAATTTCATTCTTTTTAATGACTTAATAGCAATCCAAAGTATAATATTATTTTAAATATAGTTCTTCAAATCCTCCTTTGGAGCAAGCATTGGACCAGTAAAATGCTCATGTCCCATATCTAAGTACTCAGGTTTGAATCCAAGCTTGAACTGGACTCTAACTTTGCAAAAACCGCAAGAAATGGCTCAAGTAATTGGGTTTCCACCACTCACAGTCTTTTTGGTGATATACCCAGTAGTAGGATTGTTGGATCATATGACAATCCTATTTCCAGCTTTTGTTATTTGTTTTGAAGAGATTTTCTCACTCTTTCCACAGTTGTTGCACTAATTACATCCCCCAAAACAGTATATAAGTGTTCTCCTTTCTTGACATACTCACGGGTATTTGCTAGTCCCTGTGTTTTGGGCTTTTGCTAAGTCATAAACTGGTGAGGTGCTATTTCATTTCTACTTTGATTTGTGTTTCTCTGATGAATATCAATGTTGAATTTTTTTCTTTTATTTATTGATCATTTGATTTCAAGTGTTTGTTGATCTTTCTTTTGAGAACTGTCTGTTGAGGTCCTTTGTCAATTTCATATTTATATTGGCTGTTGTGGTGTTGTTGCTGTTCTTGTTGTTGCTGAAGTTATTCACATAATCAGAATGCTAATCCTCTGTTGAATAGGTATCTTGTATAGATTTTCCTATTCTGCCAGATGTGACTTCCCTCTACTGATATTTTGCTATTTGTTGAAAAGATTATTCTTCTTCCAATAAACAATCTTAGCATGTTTGTCAAAAATGAGGTGGTTATGCATATGTAGATTAATTTCTGGGCCTTTTATTCCATTCCATTAATCCATGTATTGGTTTTTATGTCATGAGGAGTCAGATGGGCTAAGGTGCAATTAGAGTCTCTGTTTCTTGGTGAAGTTACCTTTTCAAATATAAACCCATGCTCTCTCTATGCCTTACCTTTTCAGTAGCACATGGGATGTAGCTCTTACTGACTGACCAGTTTAAACTGCATGATGCATTAACTGGGTATCTGTGTTCCATGCCCCTCCAGTTGATTGGATGATTTGTATCGTGCACTGATAGAAGGTTGGTTGATTGACAGGTTTGCATCAGGAGCTAGTGGTCTCTTAATTGATTGGATGGTCAATACTTAAGAAACCTGGCTAGCTTATGGGACTGTTCCCTTTTTCTATGTGTGCTGGAATAGGACAGTCCACCTAGGTGCTGGCCATTGAATAAAGACACCACTTGCACCATTTTTGTGAATCTTTCTTCCCTTCTAGCTTCCTGCTATTACTAGGATAGGAGTCCTCTCTTTCACTCTCTTAAATAAATCTTGCTTTGCACACTGAAATTGTCCACATGAAACTTCTTCCATCATGTGAGACAAGAAATAAGGTTGCAGTCATCTTTTGTGCTGAATTCTCCCTGTTTTAATACTGTATTATTTCAATTATGAGAGCTTTCTGGAGGCTTTGCTATCAGGTATTGTGCTGCCTCAAATTAGACTGCTTTTGCTCTGGATTCCCTTGAATATTCTGGGTCTTCTATGACTCCTTTGAAAGTTAGGTTTTTTTTTTTTTTTTTGGTGTTCTGATAGGCATTACAATGATTCCATAGATTGTTTTTAGGTAGTAGAGACATCTTATTTTTCTGATCCATGAGGCAAGAATTACTTTCCACTTTGCTGTATTTTTCATGATTTCTTTTTCAATGTTTCATAAATTTTTATTTGAGACTTTTTACTTCTTTAATGAAATTCATTGTTCGAAAGTATTTAGCTTTTGGGATTCTTGTGGATGGGACATCTTTCCTGATTTCTCGTTCTGTGAGTTCATCATTTACAAAAGGTGACTATTTTGCATGTTGATTTTGTAACATCCATCAATTTTTGCCTTAAGAGTGCTTTCATATTTCAAAGAAAATTGCAATACTGAATTTTACAGTACAAAATATCTTAAGTTAGCATTTATAATTGTGCCATGAAATTTATTCTGTAAGAATAATATCCATCCCTTTGAGATAAATAATATATGTTGTACAAGTTTCTGATATGCTTATAATTGTAATATGTTCCATGAAACACAGACATATTCACAATTTCAAAAGAAAAAAGTTTTTTCTTAATACTTTCTTTAATTAGATCCAATTGTGAAAATATTTTATAAACTTAGAGTGAGCAAAGAAATTTTGGGACATTGTATTGTAGGACATATAGAAATGTCAATGGAAACTATTAAACTAGAAAATACTTTATGAAAGTCATAAAATGTTAGTTTGCATTACATTTCAGTGAAGAATTATGGCCAATCAAAAACACTGCTCATTGCCTCTGATTCACTTCCTGTGATCCAGTTTGGACTGCTGGGAGGAGCCCTCTCTCTCCTCTCTGCCCTTCCTCCAGATGCAGGAAGAAAAAAAAAATGCAAGCAATTGTCTCACCCACTTTCCCCCACTCCCTGACCCTCCCCACCCTAATCAGTGGTCCACATGGGCATATATCCTTTTCAACAATATAAATATCATCAGAATTTTTTAAATCATCAGAAAATAGTTACTTTACTGTAAGATAAAGTAACTATTTACTGCCTTCTGTTTCCATAAATATTTGCTTAAGCAGTAGTTCCAAATTCATTAAACTTAGAATTCATAACATTCTTTTTCTTGAAGGCTTAAAGTCAAAAAGATAAAATATCATCAGGGCTTAAAGTCAAAAAGATAAAACATCATCATAATTCTTCTCAAAACGTGAATGAGGAAGAGGAAACTCAAAAGTGACAAGTTTATCACAAAATGTCAAGACTGCAGAATGGAGACTTGAGAAAGTTTTTGTGTTTGTTTTTAATTTATCTGAAAGGCAATGAGTGGGCAAGACAGAAAGGCAGTTCCCACATGCAGACTCAATCCCAAATACTCTCAATATTACAACAATTGTACCAGACTGAAACCAGGAGCAGGGGACTCAATCCAGGTCTCCTGTGTGAATGGCAGGAATCTAACTGCCTTCAAATCATTTGCTGACTCTCAGGGTCTCCATTGGCAGGACATTGGAATGGGAATGATCTGAAACACTGACACACAAACATCTTAACTCATGTCTTTACCACTAGAGTTAAGGCCAAAATTCAATTTTAAGAAGTAAGTTTATATTTTACATGTCTTCTTTCTATATAATATTTTTTTCCTCTTTAGTTTTAAAGGAGTGGCAAGTGAAGAATGCTAGAACATGAGAAATTAGTTTGTGGGTTATTGCTTTTTGAAAATCAACAATCAATAATTCCTTCAATTATTCATGAAATAGTTTTTATATTTTTTCAAAGAAATAAACAAAAATGGGGCAAACCCAATGACTAATTGGGGAATAATTCTCCATCTCCAAGTAAGGATCTCCTACAGCACCAGTTCATATCCCAGGTGCTCTACTTCTAATCCAGCTCCCTGCTTGTAGCTTGGAAAAGCAATGAAAGATGGCCCAAGGCCTTGGGACCCTTTGTTCATGTAGGAGACCCAGAGGAAGCTCCTGGATCCTGATTTCGACAGACTCAGCTCTGGCTGTTGCTGCCACTTGGGGAATGAAGCAGTGGATGGAGGACCTTTCTCTCTGCATCTCCTTCTCTCTGTAAATCTGCCTTTCCAATAAAAAATTAAAAAAAAAAAACACTTTTTTTAAAGAAATGAACAAAATTAAAAGTGACAAATAAAACGTAGTTCAGCATAATCATTTCATAAGAGTTTTTCATCTTACCTCTACTACCAGCTGTTGAAGAGACGGGGATGCTACCGGATATAGACTTGTGTTACCTCTGACAGGATGATGAAGACTGATGTAAGCCACAACGTTTTTCTGTAGAACCTTCTTGAATTCCTGAAATCAAAACAGGTTCTGTATTTAGCATAAGTAGAAGTGATAGATTCTGCTTTATTAGTTAGACGTTTTATAGTGAGCATTTCCTAATTAAAACCATTACAATGTGTAACATAATTTTTTAGAAGCAATGTCATCACTTAACATGGTGGAAAAATATTATACAGGATTTTACTCAACAAGTTATTAAAGAGTTAGATATAACATATGATAAAAGATTTTAAAGCACATTTCTGACAAAGTCAAACTTGAAGAGAAAATGTTCTTAAAAGCAAATTAGCATGAGATGGAACTACAAAATGCTGAATGGGGCATTTGTTTGCTCTGTTGAATTAAAGATCAGACATGGATAACCTACATCAGTGGTTAATAAAACTGTCCTGTTCCTTTGAAGTATGGAGTTCTTTGTTACATGAAGTAATTTTGTATTCTGAACAAGTGGGGAATAACACACTTTTGATCCTGAAAATGTTTCCTAAAACAAAGCCTTGTGCAATTTATTCATGTTTATGTTAGTAGCATAAAGTGATTCAAAAGAACAGATTTCTGCTCCCTAACTCATAAACTGAAGTGTGATCCTATTAACAAAGGACTGCCACAGAATCTTCTATTATTTCACCTGATTCCTCATAAAAACATCTAATGAGTAAATATCATGGTGTCAGGTCTATGGAAATGTTCTAAAAATTGTGTCATATTTTGGGAGTATATCTTTCTTCTGTCAGATGCAAGACTACTATAAAGATGTGAATCCCTACCAAATTAATACTATTACTCCTATTTTATGCTGAAAACTCAGCTCTATCTTTGGACAGAGGTGAAAAGATGATAACATAAATAAGTAAATAAATAATTTGACCTTGAATAATTAAATCTTAAAATGTTGACGATATACAAGTATGTAGACACAGACATGCACATTTTACTTATACACATATGTATTATTCATGTATATATGTGTATGTGCTTGCTTCAACAGCCCATAAACATGCATGTGTACATGTCTGCATATACATGTACATATATGTAATTCATGGTGGACATTTTCTACTAGAATAATCAAAAAAAACATGAAAAAATTAAATTGACCTGATCTATTTTTATTTGTTGAATATTACTATAGTTAGTAGTGAATTAGTCCTGTGAATTGAGTGGATCAAAACTTTGTTTGCAAAAAGTTAGGAAAAACAAGGATGGAGATGGTCAGGAGGGGAGAAAGGAGGAAAATACGGTTGTTTTCTTCAAACAATCTAACGAATGCATTGAATCTTTTTTGTTGTTGTTGTTGTTGAAGAGTTATTTATTTCTATTGGAAAGTCAGACACATAGAGAGGAGGAGAGACAGAGAGGAAGATCTTCCATCCATTGATTCACTTCCCAAGTGACTGAAAAGGCTGGCGCTGCGCTGATCTAAAGGCAGGAGCCAGGAACTTCCTCCAGGTCTCCCATGTGGGTCCCCAGGCTTTGGGCCATCTTTGACTGCTTTCCCAGGCCACAGGCAAGAATCTGGATGGGAAGTAGAACTGCTGGGATTGGAACCAAACTCCATGTGGGATCCTGATGCGTTCAAGGTGAGGACTTTAACTGCTAGGCCACCACACCAGGCCTGAATCTTTTTACATTAATAAAAATATGTATTTATTTTTGTATGAAATTCTGAAACCCACCCATAAATATTTGATGGTATACATTGGCCATGAATGTCTTTAGGGTCTGCATACCATTTATGTTTTTATATTAGTAAATAGAATCATTGTGAAAGCCTCGCAGGATAGGCATTAGCGTATCTGTTTGAAAGTAAGAAATAAAGAATTTTTCTTTGACTAAAGAACACATCATATGGCACAAGGCTATAAACTAAAGTTTTAGAAAGCATAGTTTACTTATTTGAATACTAGAAAGACAGAGTTGCCATCTGCTGCTTTATCTTCCAAATTACCACAGCACCCAGTGGGCCAAGCAAAGATGGGACCTGGGAATGAAACCGAAGTCTTCTACACGAATGGCAGCAACTAAACTATTTGAGTTGTCACCCATTGTCCTTTAGAATGAGCAATTTCAGGAGGCTAAGTGCTGGAAGTGAGAGCAGGATGGTGAAGTCATGCCTTTATGTATGGATTCAGGCATGCTAACCGATGCCTTAAACACCCATGACACATGCATAGCCCTAAGGTTTTTTGACACTAAAATCTGTAGTATTTCTACAATAGTCTGTAAAAGGTAAGGCTTCTTTGCAGAAGAAATAGTGTTTTTCAAAGTACCTATTTCATAAAATGTTTTAATTTCCTTGGAACATGAAGATTAGCATTGAGTCAATTACCCAATCTTCCATTATAGATTCATAATTTGTTTTATTGACCCAAATCACCCAATCCTCTAAACAAGAACTGTGCATTTCTGGGAATTTTATTCAAGGAAAGGTAAACAGGACAAATGGCTTGTCAACCAAGAGTTTTAATATTCTAGCATTAATTGTGAAATTGAAAAGTTTTAAACAATTAAAACAATTAAAAGGGTATGCTTACTTTGACGCAAAAATGTCATATGTGTATATATATATATAATACACACACATTGCCTGTGAATTTTTTGAAGAACCCTGGAATATTGAGATTCTAATTTAGAATCATTCTATAAAAACGGTTTCATTCTTAGGATACACAGAGTAAACAGAAGACAACTAGCAGTTATCTGAATTTCTCCTCAACCAGATGGTTACGAATTGGATTCATGAACAATATGGAAATAAGCTTCAGAGACACAGTAAATTAGGAAAATACATTGCATAAACTGACAACGTGTATATTCTTCAAGATTTTCACTGCTTGCATACATTTGTTCATCTCATCATGTAAAAGTCAGAAAATAACTAAACATATAATCAGTTGCTAAAAATCCATCTACAAATATCCAGACCATAATAATCTCATCTTTTCAAGCAAAAAAAAAAATCGAAACCAAAATAAAACATTTCTGTTTGTGCACACCTCAAGTCGTAAAATCTGCATTTTTAGTAACATGATTGAGAATACAAAATTAACAGACACAAAGGAATCAACAGCACTTAAAAACAGCACTAAAGTGGCAGCATTTTGGCACAGGGGACTAGGGCACCAATTGGGAAGCCCACGGTTTCTATTGGAGTGATGGTATACATCCAAAATAGTCTGCTTCTGATCCAGATTCCCATGACTGTGTCCTGGAACAATTAGTGAATGATGGATCTAGTGTCTGGGTTTTACCTCACACACTAGAGACCCAGAGGAAGTGTTTGGCTCCCACTTAACCTGAAAAAGCTGATTACTCATATAACATGCAAGACCACATTGATTAAATTCTCTGATCATGATATTTGATGCTCAAATGAATTCAGGATCTTTTGCAATGAATGCCCTAAATATTAGAGTTCAGGATGCTTATTTCATCCATGTCTGCTTTTTAAGTTTCAGCACATAGATATTCATTTGGGAATCAAATAAATTGATTTTGAATGTGACCAATGGGGAGGCAATTGGAAGACTGCAATATAGCAAATATTTGGAATTTGGAAGAATCTTCAAGATATTTTCTTAATATGTACCTTGTTGCTATAAAATAAGAAGCAGTATTTCATTATTTCTGAAATGATAAAAGAAATCCAGAAATATATGTACTACATAATTTTTAATAGAAGTTTGAGAAATTATCCATTTTGTTTAAAAATTTGTCACTTTCAAAAGGTTTTTTAAGCAGTAAAATTTCTTCATTTGAAGTAGCTCATTGAATACGAAACATTAACAATATTCATTTACATACAGAAAAGCATACTAGTTTGCAGTGTACAAATTTGCTGAAGTTTATAGTAAAACTTTTACCTTGAGGCATTTCATTTTACATTTTTTATATCATTCTGAGATTTTCAATTGTATTTATTAGAGCTTTACCTTCTCCTGAGTGTTGAAATTAAAATGCACCCAGACAATTTCTCTGGATATAGAATACATCCCTCAAAGCTAAGATTGTGAAAAAATATCAAAATGATTTTGTCTTCCTAGGTGGGTGCTGGGTTCCTGAGCCCCAGGAGTGGGGAATTTGGCAGGGTTTGGATCACCTGACCCAGGTCTGTATTCTTGAGACCCAAGCGTGGAAGATTTGGTGGGACTTAGGTCACTTGGCTTGCGTCCTGAAGCCTAACTGCAAGGTGGATGTCAAGTTCATGAGCCCCAGGGGTGGAGCATCCAGTGGGGCTTGGGTTGCCTGACCAGCATCCTGGGGTCCACCTACCAGGTGGGTGCTGGGTTTGTGAGCCACAGGGGTGGGGGATCCAGCAATGCTTTTGACACCTGGCCCAGGTATTTGGACTCACCTGCAAGAACATATCCTGCCTAATGAAAAAGGTGAAGCAGTGGACACAGGTCCTGTTGTGAAAGGAGAGTATGGCAGCACGTTTGGTGCTGTAGCAGAAAAAAGGAGAACAGAACACACTGGACAACTACCCCAAACAAAGGATGACAGTAAAAAAAAATCTCAGTGAATGGAGCCAATGGACACTGGGAGGGTGACATCATCCTTGGATTGGTGAAATTGGCAGCAATTCAGAACTATCCAAGTACTTGGCTAGAACTCTCAGAATATGCACACATTGAGACTCTGGGTTGATATGAGATGGCATTTCTCATTCCTAGGTTCTGAGACATGTGGAAAGTCATGAGTGGTTTCCCCTTTGTTTCTTCCCTTGCCCCAGGAACAATAAGAAGAAATAGTAAATTTGGAAGCAATGAGTTCACCCAATTTTCCCTAAACCTCAATCTTTTCCATCCTAATCAACCATGTAATAATTATTTTAAAAATAAAGCTTATATAAACAAAGATATAGTATTTTTTATGTCTTTGTGTTGTGTATGTAGCTATGTAAAGAAGAAGGGATAAGTGGTGAAAGAACAGACTGGAATAAAGAGAGGAATCCAATCTCTATGCCTTATTTGTGAAATTGCATGGAAACATCAAAAACACTCATCGGCTCCTTTCCTTTCTAGTGCCTCTCAAGCTATATCTTTGCAAAATCAAAGACTATTGGGGATTTTATCAGAATTTGTGGTCTGACAATATGCATATGTGTTGTAGGTTACACACAAATCATCATGGTCCAACTCTAACTCTTCATTTTTACAGGTAAGCTTAGCAAGTCAACAAATACACAACTCTATTTGAGAAATGTATCACTGTCCGTGGCTTAAACAATTTTATACCATCTACAAGCAAAAAAAAAAAAAAGAAGATGTTATAATTGATGTATGTACATATTATTTACCTCTCCCCATTCATATGAACCAATACTTCCAAAAGCTGTTCCTCCCCAGGAGCAGAAAACAATTGTTCGGTCTGGCCTCCACCCTCTCTTAACTCTTAACATTAGAGCCCGGATGAATGCTGTGATTATTGCAGTACTACTGGCCCATTCTTGTCCATTGTAGCCGCTCATTGAATCATGGTGGCTGCCTACTAGGATATATCGGTCTGAAAACAAGAAAACAAACCATTAGAGTAAAATATAAACCTTAACAATAACTTTAATGACATTTCCATAATCCTATTCCACAACTGAGTTACAATTAAGCAAAATTGTTCTAATAATTAAGACTAATTTAACATTTTTCTCCCACTGTCTTAATTCACACATTTGTGTATATCAAAGCAGAGGCAGCTGCTGAACCAATTATAAATCCAAAGCTTGAATCTGTATTACTGTCCTTCGCAACATGAATATTAATTAATGAAGTATACAAAGATGCCACAATGAAACAGTATCTACCATTTTTCTGATATCATACTGGGAGATGTCAACATTGTGAGAATGCTGAGTAAATCTGAATGAACCATTAATACATTTAAGGAAGATGTTATTCAGCAATTTTAATTATTAAATAATATCAAGTATATGTGGATTTTGCAGTAACCAACGTATTACACGATTGTTTCCAACCTATCATTTTTAATCCTCTTCCTTTCTCTGAAGAGAAAAATAATGTTCAACAATGCAAAACTACTTCAAACATTGACTTTATTTTTGTTTACCCTGCAATCACCTACAGCTCATTAGACACACTCTCAGAAAGGTTCCTGTGTGACGCAAGACGGTAGTTGCTGTGTTGTACATAATTATAGTCAGTAACAGATCTGTCTGATGTGCTTTCAGAGTGTCCTTTTTTGCTGTTGTCTGTAAATGCTACTGGTAATAACAGAGACGATTTGATGAGGTGCCACATACATCATGTAAAATGTTCTCTTCATTGAGTTTCATTTCATAGGTAGATATTATATGAGATGGCTAACTGTAAAAAGCCTGAAGCCCACATTTGTAACTCACTAGTTGGAAGGCTTAGCTATATTTGTATGGCTTAGTTTCATCAACTCTAAAACAGAACTAAACAGCATAGATAACGTTTGGATGGTTTGAGTTTTGACTGAGTTAAGACAGGTAAGGCAGTTCAAACCATGCCCGATTCAAGGTAGGTTTACATGTGTGTGCAATAAATGAAACACCCCTTAACTGCATGACCTGAAGGTACTACACCATAGAGAAAACCCATCTTAGTTCTTCACACTAAGGTTTTAGAACCAGCAATGAATCAGATCTTTCTACATTTTGTAAGATTCAATTAATAGTATATAGGCTCGGTCTGCAAATGTTTAAAGTGTGGTTAACATTTCATTGATCTCCCAGAATTGTTGGTAAGCTTTGCTTGAGCTTGTCTGTACACAAATACATCATATTTAAAAGACCTAATAGTAAAATATGGTTGTTCCTAATTTTAAGACTCAGTAAAGAAAAAATCATCTAATTAAATGTCCCATATGTTTGTGCAGAATTAAAATAAGCAAAGGTTGAGAAGCTTTAGATATATCCACTAAAGAATACTAACTATAAGGTTGATCTTACTAACTCTAAGGGTTTGTTTTTGTAGTTTGAGTTTCCTTTACCTTAAAGCTAATTTTGTACAGACATTTTTTAATAACAATAACCTGCAAAGGCAACAATGATGATAAATAAGCTAGTGTTTAATTACAATTCTTATGATATAAATGTATTGAAATGATATAAATGAAATAGTAACAGTGTCTCAATTTATTTCTGTCCTGTATTTAAAGATACTGTAGTAAGAGATTGTTCAATACTGTTGCTGTAAGAAAATCAGAGAGAGCAAATATCTTTCACAAATATTGTAATAATTGGCTGTGGAGAAGGTGGAATGATATGAAACTAAATTTTAAAATTCTGTTATCAATTAGGTCAATTTGAGAAAAGTCATGGAGGAAAGTAATTGTCTATGGGAAACTGAGTAAATGTCTTAATGAAATGAAAAGAATTGGCATAACTCTTAATATAGAAGCTACTGCACACTACACTATAAAGGTGGCATCCCCAATAATTTGTGATTACTGATACTTATTAATAATATATGTGTCAGTTATCTTCATGATTTATTCTACATATCACTTCAATATTCCATCAGTAGTTCATAACTAAGCATAAAATATTTAAAATCCAGCCAGTGATTTGCTTTATTAAGCATATCCCAAAATGTAAACCAATGCTAAGTTTAGAAATAAATGTCAGTGAACCAAGAGTTGGAAGTTACACAGTGATTCACTATTTGAAAACCAGTATATGGAGTTAATAATCTTATAATATACATTTAATAATTATACATTTATATCTACATTAAATGAATGTTTAATATTAATTCAATCCCTCTCTCTCTCTCTCTCTCTCTCTCTCTCTCTATTTGAGACAGACACACACAGATATTCTACCCACCGGTCCACTCCCCAGATTCCTGCCATAATCAGGTATGGGCTGTGTCAAAGCTGAGAACCCAGAGATCAACCAGCTCTCCCATATCAGTGGCACAGGCCCAGTTTTTTTTTTTTCTTAATTTTATTTTAAACCTTATGATACAATTCTGTAGGCTCTAGGATTTCCCTTGCTCCCTCTCCAAACTCTCTCCCCACCCAATGATTTCCACCATATTTTTACAGTAGTGTAGTGCTTCATAAGTTGTCTTAAGTCCATCATTCTGGGACCTAACTTCTTGTGCCACCTCTTGCTGACTATGAGGGTGAATATTAATAGGAAGTTCAAAGAAAGGTTGGGATGAGATTCATACCCAGGGTTTCCAACAGTATGCAAAAATTCCAAGTGGCTTTCATGAACAACTGCATCAAAAACACATCAACACAACTAAAATAGTTTCTGATTTATAAATGCATTGATAAAAAATGTTAATTATGTTAAAGTAAAAGAAAAAAAACACATGGCTTTGTTTTTGTTTTTGTTTTTTGTTTTTGGTGCTTTCCAGTCTAAAACCTACACTCTGATTCTCCCTAAGACAAACCTTTGCACTAAACAATCTTAGCTTTTATGCTTCTGATCCAGCTTCCTGTTAAAGCAAAAGGGAGGGCAGAAGTGGACAGCCCAATGGGCTGTTCCTCTTACCCACATCAGAGATCAGATAGAATCTCAGCTCCTAGCTTTGCTCTCGTCAAGCAAGGGTTACTACAATAGTGTGGCGAGTGAACTGGCAGGACTCACTGTTTCTCTGCCTTTCCAATAAACCAGTGAATACAAGTTAAAAAAAAAAGACATGGTAGAAAAGAGAAGAGAAACCTTATTTTTAGTTCTACATTTATTCTCTTGAGATGGTATGAATGCCAAGTTACAACGGAATTAGAATAATTAACAATGTTATTAAATTTATATATAAAATTTCTCTATGAGTTTCTCCTGAAAGTGTGGGTCATGAATATTTCACCCTACTTACCTGGAGAAGTGAGACCTTTCACATATCCAACAACGTTTGTAACAGCCTTGAATTTTGTGACTGTCTGCACTTGCATGCGGATTGTTCTTATTTCTGGAAAAAGAAATGAAAGGTTCTTGTTTCTTCATATTCTGTGGCATTTTTTCCTAAAACATTGGAGATTCATTATCCAATATATCAGTAAGTGAGTTCTAAAATCAATGCGTTTTTTTCCCCCAGATAACCAAAGTTACTCTTTTGCCAAATGCTTATTCATTTTGTACAGACTGCTATACAACACGCATGTCATCAACTTTCTATCATTCTTCAAACAACCTGTTTAATGTCATGCTTCCACAAATCCTAAGAAAACTTTGTAATTACTAATATCAGATTCAGACTCATGAAAGTTAAAGCCTTAGGGGCAGATGATGGTGCAACAGGTTAAGCAACCGACTAGGATGTCTGCATCCTTCTCTAAGTATCTGAGATCAAGTCCCTCTTAGGCTTCCCATTTAGCTCCTTGCTAAAGTACCTGAGAAAGAATTAAATAACACATCTACTTAGGGCATTACTCATGTGAACCACCCTTCTGTAAAGCAATATTACTATTCATAGCAATCTCAACAGCAATCCTGTACAATGGAAATTATCCTACAGCCATAATTCAGCTATTTGCAAAATCATCTGCAATCTATTACAGTGATTACAGAAAACATAAATATGCCAAAAACCAGAGTGATTTAGAAAATCATGATAAAATGTGTGGTTGTTAAAAACATAATTATACACATGCATGTATATATGTATGTATATGTACATATAAATACACGCATATATATGTAGAAGCAAGCATGCACTGAAGATGAAGAGTATAACAAAGACAGAAAAGCATGAAGACTGATCTGGGTAAAATGTGAGTGTTTATGGAGAAATTTTGAAAATTAGTAATTTATAATTGAATTTGTAATAACAAATTGAAAACAGACACTGCATTAAGCATTCTTTTTTTATCTGCTGGGACCACATATGTTCTAAAGATACCTAAGATTGGGTCAGAAGCAGTGGTCTAGAGGCTAAAATCTTGCTTTGAATTCACCAGGGTACCATATGGGTGCCAGCTCTATTCCTGCTAGCCTCATTTCCCATCCAGCTCCCCGCTTGCAGCCTGGGAGAGGAATTTGAAGATGGCCCAAAGCTTTGGAACCCTGCACCTATGTGGAAGACCCAGAAGAAGCTCTGGGCTCCTGCTTCAGATTGGGTCAGCTCCAGCCTTTTTGGCTAATTAAGCAGTGAATCAATGGACGGAAGATCTTCCTCTGCCTTTCCTCCTCTCTGTATATTTGACTTTGCAATAAAGATAAATAAATCTTTAAAAAAATAGATTTTTCTGAAGATAATTGCCATTCAATATTCAAACTGGCAAGGAGATAGAAGTCAAGACAAGTACTACAGAGTGAAGCAAAGAGGAAAAAGGACAGCTTGGTGCAATATATGATATTATTTAAATGTTTTTTGCAATTTAAGATGCTGTTGAATCAACTGACAAAAATTGAATGAGGTCTATGAATTCACAGTAATAATATATCAGTAACTTCTGATTATACTGGTTATTGTTTTATCAGAATATCTTTTGCTGATGAACTCAGATGTCTGGAGTTTTCTCTTGAGTAGATAAAGAACAATATTGGTTCTACTATTCTTATAACTGTTCCATAAATGTTGATTTATTTCAAAATTAAAATGTTACTATTGAAATTAGAAATTCTAGCATAGGGCATCAAAAGGTCTGTGTGTGTGTGTGTGTGTGTGTGTGTGTGTGTGTGTGTGTGTGTGTGTGTGTGTACTTTTTCTTAAACACTCCATTTGCAGCTCACAATCACCAAGTGGTTTTTGTCTTTCATGTTACAAGGATGAATGACAGCTTTGAATATGACATGAAAAGTTCAACTGATTTCAAGATGACAAAAACGTATTTCACTCAGAGAACATTTGTATTCGAAAGTGTGAGGAATATCAGAACTGGGAAACATGAAAGTGCTTCCTTCCCTCTAGTCCTTAATTTTATCATTTTAGAGAAAAAAAAAATCTGCCACCAAATATCATGTTCTAGGGATAATTCTGTCTTGCATTTTTCTTGCTATAATTAAGGCTCAACTGGGTCTCAGGCTTCTCCGCTGACAGCTAATAAAGTTTTGTCTCCAACTTAATCTTGGTAAGTATATAGAAAGTGTGGGAACCATTCCAACCTTATTCAGACACATCTGAGGAATTAACTCCCACTTCTTCTGAGTTACATCTCTATTAGAGAAGCTTTTATTGGATTCCTGGACATATTCCTAGGGTTCCTAATTTGTACTTAATAGTCCAACTCGGTTTATGGAGTGTCTCTCATGGCCACATGACTGTAAGACTGGCTTTCCTCTAGGGTCGGGGCAACTAATTCATCTGTTGCTTTTTTAATTTCCCTGTGTCACAGAGAAAATGGACTCAGCTATGGTATCTGCTATCATCTTTGCTTAATGCCAAATTTTTAAATATAAACTCATCCTAGATTCTATATTGTGATAATTTAAACATTTTCAAGGCAATATATCCCTTGAATCTTGTCTTCCACAAACATATGCACACATTGACATCAATATGTGAATAGTCTCAGGTAGGTTTATATTGATCAAAAATGCCAAATTTACTTAAATTTTATTCCTTTTAATTATTGAATTTATGTAAAAAAAATTTTTAATTTTTATAAACATGAACCGAACCTTATCTCCACTCATTGAAAAATAATGTTTGTTCTCTTCAACATGTGGTAATTTGAGTGATAGTTCTTATGCCTCCAGAAAATTTTTCTACAAGTGACAAATCAGAAAATTATCAGACTAATCACTCTGTATTCACTGAGCTGCATATTTCCACTTGTTCATTGTTATCTATTTTCTACCTTTCACATTCCTTCATCTCAGAAGGATAACCACTATGAACTCTATCTGGCTCCCTTATTCTTTGGCTTCATGGTTTCAGGTTTGAGTTTAGTCAATGGAAGACCCCCACAAATGACCATCAGGTTGAGAATGTGAGATGCTCGATCATACAGTCTCCATTAAGGTTTTGCCATTTCCTGTACCTACACCCTTGCCTAGAAAGTGTAGCAATCACTTTTCCTTTATTCCTCCCTTTAGCTGTCTTTACCTTTTATGTAGGCCTTTGAACAATCTCCCTTGAATGCTCAGTTTAGCATATTTATGATGTGTTGAAAGCAATGTGATCTCCATGTCAATCAATCCAAGTGGAATCATTAATGGTCCACATATTTTGGGGGGTGGGAGTGGGGGATGAATGAAGAGAGAAACAGGACAATTTCTTCAATTGTAAAATAGTGATTTTGTATGTCAGACTAACTCTCCCCTGAAAATAATATATGATGTCAAGCAAACTGCACAGGAAATATTGTTAACAGCAACTAACAGCAAGAAACTAAGGAATCACTAGGTCTAAATTTAAGTTATGAGCAAATAAAGAAAATGATGAGGTTGTTTTCAATGTGGAGTTATCTCCTGAAACTAGAGTCTTCAAGCTTGATAGCTACAAAGGATGTAACTGTCAGGCAACAAAATCATCGTCCTGCCCATCTGGAAAGGATAAGAAAGAATGCAAAACTTATTTATAACTTCTAGAATAGTAGAGGGAAACATACAATGACAAAAAATGTATAAACCTAAAGAGAAAATAATGTCATGTAAGCAGGAAACAAAATGAAAAATTGTCAGCATAAATACACAACGATCACATTAAAAGTAATGGGCTATATGTTTCAGAGAAAAGATCAGATTTATTTAAAAGGAAAATAATTTCGCATTAATGAGATATATACAACAGACAAAGATACAAAGTTGAAAGTAAAAAGGATATAGCATAAAGATATTAATCCAAAAAACAGTGTAGCCAAGTTTATGACACAATTGAACATATTTAAGACAAGCAAGCAAAACCAAAATAGTATCACTTCATATGATAAGCAGGTAAACTAGTCGGGAAAATTTGACACATCCAAGTACCTAAGACATAACTCCAAAATGCATAAGGCAAAAATGGACAGAACCATCAAGAATAAATGCACAAATCTACACATCCAATGATGGAGACTTTAACACTGATAAAATATGTTTGACCATCTGGATTGTGGAACTTAGTGCAAATACACAGAATCAGCTGAGGCTAAGATCACTTTTGAATGAAACTCCAAAACAATTATCATTTATGAAACACATGGCATTTGTGTTGAATTTTAAGAGCTGGGACTATACTGGAGTTTTGCAACTTATGCAACAAAAATGCAAGAAATCTTTGGATAATGTTGAAAAGAATATTAATAGAAAATATTGGACACACAAAGAGAATAGTAAGATATAGAACTAGAAAGGGATTAAGAAATTTCTAGGAGTTTCTAAACTAGTAATTAACAATGTTGACCAATTGTGAAAAATAGATCATTGAAATATGATTAATTACAGACTTGGAGAGGGACCCAGTGATGTGCAAGTTGCTAAGTAGCTGTCATTGACTCAGGTGCTTTGGGCTGAGTTTCCACCTACTGGCCTCTGCCTTGGATCAGCTTTTTTTGTTTTTTTTTAACCGTCATATTCTCAGAATAAATCATTGGATGTGAGCATTCCCTGACTTTTTCTTTCCCTCCCTCCCTTTCTCTCTCTCTATCTCTCTTTCTATGTCTCTTCCTCTCTTTACCTCCCACCCAACCTTTCTCAAATAATACAAATTAAGTTGAATTAAATAAATAAAAGTATAAATTTGTATGTGGTTCAATGGATTTAATCACAAGCATAAACTCCAAAATTTAGCAGATTTCTGTAATTTAAATGAAATTAAATTCCTGTAATTTCAAAAGAACAACAGGCACTTGAAAAATAATATGAAAAGAATACATGATGCTATGTAAAATGGACGAGAAACATTTGAAAGTTTGGGAAACATTTGTCAAAATGATTTTACTTACCAATAAATTTCTCAGATTTTAAAGGAAGCATAAAAATATAGATATTCCTAAAGTCTAGGCTATTGAAAAAGAAAGCAGGAAATGGGAGAAGTTCTTGACG